ACGTCAGCTCTGGTGTCTGCTAGCGAATCTCTTCAGTGGGCAGTTACACTGCTGTTTCTGAGTCTTTGAAAAAGCAGCAAAAGAATTGTGTTTGGTTTGTCGGCCCAAACAGATAGAAGGTTTTTTATACCTAATAAATGTCCTTTCACCAACAGAAACTGCATCTGGAGCTAAGAACAAACACCTTTACTGTGAATCAGAGCATCATCCAAGGCCTCATCATAGTAAACACGAGTCCCCACCGGCTTTGTGTTAGGATGGAAAACTATAAAGCAATATAAAAATGAGGATTTAAAAGCTGTTTGTCATTCCTCTTTTCTAACATTCTACACAAAAAATAAGTCACTGACGAAAAATAAAAGTTAGAATATTCTCACCTTCATAAAGATCAGGAACCTCCTGGATTGATGCATCTGTAACAAATAATACAACATTTGTTGTACAGCTACAAATACATAACCAGTGATATATAAAATATGTTCTGCATACTCCAAAATGTTAAAAGGACAGCAGAAAACATGCACACTCACTGTTTTGTAGAATCTAAAATGCATATGACGTTTCCTCAGCTGTCATTGCACCGATGTCACATTAACTGTCACATTCTGTTCTTGTCTGAGCTTAATGACACTCTCATCTTGATGTCCTGCTTCTGTAGCAAAGACTAAACACTGCTGTGTGTTTAAATATCAACTTTACTCATATTTTTATTGGATTTGCAATGGTCTCTGGAGTATGAATGCCTTGTAAGTCGTACTCTGAGGAAAAAAAAGCTCTGGTAGACCTATTTCAGGAACTGGAAAGGAGGCAGATCAGAGTTGAGCATCAGACTGCAGAATTTGGATTCTATTTCCTATTATTTGGACATCGTGCCTCTGACTGGCTAACAGCAACGAGACTCTACCACTGACTCCATTTGCTCATCCATACTGTCTCAAGACAGGGAAAGCTGTTGTTGGTTTAGCATCAAGGTAACAGCAGAGAACGTCTCGGCTAGTGGAAGCTAACATTAGCATTAGCAACTCCACCACACAGCAGAACTCCTTCAGGCTTGTGTTATTTGTGGAGATAAAACATCAACGTTGCAAAACAAATGGAGTCAGTGACAGAGTTGTGTTGCTGTCATCCAATCAAAGGCGAGATGTCCATATTTCAGGAACTAAGAATCTAAATCCTGTCGTTTGAAGCTACTTTCTCCTCTGGCTGAATTCTCTGTGCTTAAACAGGCACATCTGAGCATTTTCCCCCTCAGTACGCCTTACAACGCTAGTGCTGATGTAGTTTAAACAAAACTGCACGCTTGGTGTATCTGTGTTGCTCAACAGTGCAGAATAGATTTAGCTGATCATTGTAGTTGTCAAAATCAGTGTCTTCTGCAAAATAATGCTGCCGCAGTCTACTGCTACTGATCAAAGAGAAGAAATCCATGCATATTTCATTTAAATAAACATAGAAGAGGTTGTGTGGCGTTAAAAGAGATTCATAGATAAAAGTCTTCTACTTTCTGTCCGTGTTGGACCAGTGGAGTGATTGTAAACTGCCTGAAGTGTGGGAACACACGGAGAGGAGGATGTTGCTTTTTCAGACAGGTCATTTTTCAGATGTGCTGTTTTCTGTCCGCTTTGCTTTGTTTCCAGCACAGCAGCATGCTGAATAGATCTTTCCAAAGCTTCAAGTCCTACATGGCACACATACCTTCACATTTTTTACTATTTAGTTCCTTTTAATCATGTTTATTCACAATAAACTGACTTAAACCCGAGTTTTAGTAAATATGTATTCAAAGTCTTGATTAAAAATTTAATTATTACAGTAATTTTCCTTTTCAAGCACTGTTAGTATCACAAGACTCTGAAAAGCTGACCGTTTGTTCACACTCTTTTGTTCTTGATCCTCATTAAGGAGCCCATGAATGAGATATCATTTATTTTGTTTCTACCCACGTTTTCTTTAGGATATCATGTAGAGTAGGAAGGCGACGATACCACTTTTTACCTGGATCTGAGTACTCACCAATACCGATTACCAATACCGATACTTCTACCACACAAAGAAAAATGCAATGAATTGGAATAGAGGTTTTATTTTCTTCTCTGCTTTCAACAGGAAAACACTGTGAGGTAGATAAAAAATAAAATATAAACTAAAATATTAGGTGAACAGAAATGACAAGTTACAGTGAAGCCACTTTCAAGCACTGCTTTGGTATCGGTTCACTTTTACCAATACCAGTATTGGTATCAGTACCAGGATAGGTACTGGTGCATCCCTAACGTAAACAGTAACTCAGAGCAAAAACAGGACATGCAGGCAACTTCCTGTGACTTAGATGAATGTCTTTTTACTCCCGCTAAATCTACAAACCTGCTGGAGAGAGCTTGAGGACGAGTAGGTGGAGGAGCAGGATGAGGCGCAGCATGATGTTGTAGTGAGAACCACCTGGTGGGGTTGAAGCTAGAAGCTCAGTGGATGAAACATGAGCAGAACCTCTCGGTTTTCCCTGAGAAGTCAAACACAGAAAGAGACGTGTCAAAACCATGTACAACTTTTGCAGGAGCAAATCTGATTAATGCGCGTTTGATAAGAAAGTCTTAAATGCTGATCAGCTACAAAATAAAAGCTCTTTACCGGCTCAGCTGTGTGGCCTCTTTTTCCACAGGCATTAGAGCCGAAGAAGAGCGCACTGAACCTCTTTAACAAATAAAGTTCCAGCATCACAAAAAGAGTAAAGGAGAGGCTCAATCTAAATGAGAAGCAGGATTTATTTGTGGACCACCTGCTAGAAATTCATTGTGTTTATGTTCTCATTGCTTAGGTTTCAACCGCATGTGTCAGAGTGTATTAAACTGTTTCAGGATCAGCCTGCAGCCCATGAAAAGCTTCCCCAGCCTATCATTTCCTTCATTCACACGAGGCACACTCATCTCTGCTTCCTGTCAGCCTCAGAGACATCTGCTTCTTGATAGGTCGATGCTTGATGATTGACATTTAGATAATTGCAGGAACATTTCCACACCACACCAACCGACTCCAGCTCCCAGCATCATGCCCAGTAGAACAAGAACTGCTGTTAGAAGATGAAATCACAGTGGAAGAGCTGATAGAGACAGCTAAACAAGCTATGACTGTTGACATCATTTGTTTATTAAACATTATGCAAAATTTTAACACTATAATGTCAAACTAAAGGCAGACTGATTTGTCGGCTGATTTCTTTTAAGAATGATTTTCATTTTAAATAAATTGGAACAAGCTGTTGTCTTGCAGCAAGAAGGTCCTGGGTTCGCTTCCCAGCCTGGGATCTTTCTGCATGGAGTTTGCATGTTCTCCCTGTGCATGTGTGGGTTCTCTCCGGGTACTCCGGCTTCCTCCCACAGTCCAAAAACATGACTGTTAGGTTGATTGGTCTGTCTGATTTGTCCTTAGGTGTGAGTGTGAGTGTGTGATTGTTTGTCCTGTGTGTCTCTGTGTTGCCCTGTGATGGACTGGCTCTCTGTCCAGGGTGTACCCCGCCTGATTGTCCATTGACCGCTGGAGATAGGCACCATTGAGACGGACATTATTGATTCTTGGTGAGCAGATTGAGGTGTCAGCTGGCAGAAGGGCACAGAAACTCGGAGGTCTGACAGAATGAGAGAAATCTCTGAGCCAACAGAAAAAATAAAGTCTTATCACAGAAAATGGTTTATAACAACGGAGGGGAATCGTGCAATTGGCAGCTTGAGATGAAACGAGCAAAACCACAGCTAGCGAAGAAGCAAACACAACTGTAAACTGTGTCTGGTGTGTTGAACATACAGGAATGTTTGAACCGCATGGCTGCAACAAAGTCATTCAGGGAGGATTTCATGTCTACGTGGGACCGTATCCTAGCAACACCTTTTAAAAGCAGCAGTTCGTGTGCAGTGGGAAGCTTCTATGACAGCCAATGAAACTATGCAAACACTCATTATAATCTGCAACCAAGGTGCTGTGATGCGAGGAAAACCTATGCTCATCAATAAAAAAGGTCAGAGAAACACTCATCTGTTTCCATCTCCCTCACTCCACAGCTGTAAGTACCATTTCTCTAACTCATAAATCATAAATGTTCCTAATAGATGCACTTAAGAGATTAGAGGGAAAACAAAGAAGCCCCATTACAGCATCCATGCCAATCCTATCTGTCACTAGATTGACAAACTGCAGTAACTGATGAGAGTAACACACAGGAAGGCAGAAGCTCATAGTGATACTCCCTCTTATGACTCTGGTCTTAACTCATGAGATGAGAGACACCCCCCCCACCCCCCCACCCCCCCACCCCCACCCCCACCCCCACCCACCCACCCACCCATACATGAAAGCTCTGTATCAAGGCCATTTCCCGTCCCCCATAAATCACGCGCAGCACATGGCCACATCTATCCCTGCTTTCAGCCTGGTGTTTCTCTTTGAATATGTCCTTCACCCATAGTTTTAATACATGTTGTCTCTAGTACGAATAAATGCCTTGTAAGTCATTCTCGAGAGGAAAAAAAGCTCTGATACGCCTGTTTCAGCATGGATAATTCAGCCAGAGGAAAAAATGGCTTCATACAGCAGAGTTTGGTGTCTTCTTGATATTTAGACCTCTTGTCTCTGATTGGCTATCAACACCACAACCACCACTGACTCCAGTTGATCTGCAATGTTGATGTTTTATCTCCACAACTAACACAACTTTTAACAACTATCAATGGCGGCTGAACTTTAAATGCACAAAAATAAGCCATAAATACAGATTCCACTATCAAAGTAGTCGCCCTTTGTTGATCCAAACACTGCTGATCTCTCAACACAAATGATGGGCAGATTAAACATTTCATTTAGATGCTTCTCCCACACAACGGGTGTTTGGATCTAACTTTCAAGTTTCACCGTCTATTTATTGGTTTCATCAGAAGCAAATGACGTTTCTCATCAGTTAAACTAATTTATTTACATTAGGTTTGTGTGTGTGTGTGTGTGTGTGTGTGTGTGTGTGTGGGGGGGGGGGGGGGGGGGGGATGAATGTTATAAATGCTGTTATTTAATTGTTTCAATATTTCCTGCATTAGTATGATTCAACGACGACAAGCCGATGATCAATATTATCAAAATTATTAGAGCTATTTTCATGACCCCAAAGTTTCCTAACCCTTCCACTTTCCTATCAGGTGACCTCGCCAGGACAGGGGGTGGCTAAACAGGGTTTAAAATGTATGCCTTGGTGGGGGTGAAGTGATGCACCCCTTAAAAATATTAAAATTTAATTAAAAATACCCTAGTGGTCCATCTTGCCCCATTAACAATGCGGGGTGGGGGGGTGGGGGGGTCCGTTCAGCCCAAAGGGAACGGATTGATTGGACTGAATGAAGAACGGTTTTCCCTGTTGAGCTTTTGCCGATGCAGGGATGTAGGGGGTGGAGACATGAAGGCTCAGAGGAATGGATGTTTAGACCAAGATGTCATACAGAGACATCAACCCCTCCTTAACTACCACCAAAGCCCCCACCAACATCAGTCATTAACAAAGATTCGCTGTAATCCTGCAGAGGACATGCGACTGGGGTTAACGCTGGATTGTTTTAATCAGGTCTGTGAGAGAACAAGACCAGACTAGTGCTGCATCATGAACAAGTCCTATTGAAAAAAGGATTTAAAGACAGATGAATCAGTCATTCTTAGAGTACGGTTCATTTTCTGTGTTTTCTCTATACATCACCTTTCTGACATTTGGATTTGAACATTTTTAAACGGATTGGTTGGCTACTTGGATATTTTCTTACCAAAGTTGGAATCTTGAGAGTAGATAGGACTTTATTCTTATGGAGCACAGTAATCACAGACTGGCAGAGAAAGAGCAAGCGTGCTGTGTGAATCAAGGACAGAAGGAAACTGGAACAGAAAGGTGTTTTAAATGTAGCTTTAAACCATCTTCATCATGAAGAAGTTACCTTGCAGGTTTAAACAGAAGAGCAGACAGGTAAATATGTAATCCTTCTGCTGATTCAGCAGATCTAATTGTTCTTTATTGAGAATGTGGCAAACAGGGGAGTATCAGGATTGGCAGGGTTTCTGCAATGCAGAAAACTTCAGTTCCAACATAAAATTTACTCCTAAACACAGAGGCTCTGAATTTATCAGAACTATTACCTGAACAATCTGTGGAAGAGGAAACGTGGGTCCCCCTTCCCATGGGCTCACCACTCGTGGGAGGGGCCAAAGGGGTCGGGTGCAGTGTGTGACGTGTGGTAGTCGATGGCGGGTACCTTGGCGGTCTGATCCTCGGCTACAGAGGCTGGCTCTTGGCACATGGAATGTCACCTCTCTGGTGGGGAAGGAGCCTGAGTTGGTGTGTGAGGTTGAGAGGTTCTGACTAGATATAGTCGGACTCACCTCAACGCACAGCTCTGGCTCTGGAACCGGTTTCCTCGAGAGGGGTTGGACTTTCTACCACTCTGGAGTTGCTCCCACTGAGAGGCGCTGAGCAGGGGTGGGCATACTAGTTGCCCCCCATCTTGGTGCCTGTACATTGGGGTTTACCCCAGTGAATGAGAGGGTAGCCTTCCTCCGCCTACGTATGGGGGGACGGGTTCTGACTGTGGTCTGTGCTTATGCACCAAACTACAGTTCAGACTACCCACCCTTTTTGGAGACCTTGGAGAGGGTGCTGGAAAGGGCTCCTTCTGGTGACTCCCTCGTTCTGCTGGGGGACTTTAACGCTCACGTGGGCAACGACAGTGAGACCTGGAGAGGTGTGGTTGGGAGGAACGGCCCCCCCAATCTGAATTTGAGTGGTGTTTTGTTACAGGACTTCTGTGCCAGTCATGGATTGTCCATAATGAACACCATGTTCAGACATAAAGGTATCCACATGTGCACTTGGCACCAGGATACCTTAGGCCTTAGCTCTTTGATCAACTTTGTTGTTGTTTCATCTGATCTACGGCCGCATGTCTTGGACATTCGGGTGAAGAGAGCGGCGGAGCTGTCAACTGACCACTACCTGGTGGTGAGTTGGCTCAGATGGTGGGAGAGGATGCCGGTCAGACCAGGCAGGCCCAAATGTATCGCGAGGGTCTGCTGGGTACATCTCGCAGAGTCTCCTGCCAGAAGGAGCTTCAATTCCCACCTCCGACAGAACTTCCAAAATGTTCCAGGGGAGGCGGGGGACATTGAGTCTGAATGGACCCTTTTCTGTGCCTCCATTGTTGAGGCGGCTAACCGGAGCTGTGGTCGCAGGATTGTCGGTGCCTGTCGTGGTGGCAACCCCCGAACCCGCGGGTGGACACCGGCTTTTAGGGATGCTGTCAAGCTGAAGAAAGAGTCCTATCAGGTCTTTTTGGCCCGTGGGACTCCAGAGGCAGCTGACGGGTACCGGCAGTCCAAGCAGAACGCGGCTCGGGTGGTCACCAGGCAAAAATCCGGACATGGGAGGAGTTCGGTGAAACCATGGAGCAAGACATCCGTACTGCTTCGAGGAGATTCTGGTCCACC